TTCTGGTCCAATCTGTTTGGTGTTCTGTTAGCTTCTGGTATGTTTGTAGGCATCTCTTTCTTTATGTTAGGGAAATTTTCTTCTATGATTTTGTTGAAAATATTTTCTGAGACTTTGTGCTGGAAATCTTCCCCTTCTATTCCTATTACTCTTAAGTTTTTTTCCATGGTGCCATAGATTTCCTGGATATTTTTGTGTTAGCAACTTTTTAGATTTAAGCTTTTCTTTGACTAATGTATCAGTTTCTTCTATCATATCTTCTATACCTGAGGTTCTGTCTTCTATCTCTTGTATTTTTTGGTAACACTTGATTCTGTTGTTACTGTTTACTTACCCAGATATCCCATCTCCAGTATTCCCTTAGTTTGTGTTTTCTTTATTGCTTCTGTTTCCAGTTTCAATTTTTTTGAAACAATAAAACAATTTTATTCATTTTCTTCACACATTTGTACTTTCCTAGATTTCTTCTATGGGCTTATTCATTTCCTCTTTAAGGGCCTCTATCATATTCATAAGATTTGATTTCAGGTCATTTCCTTGTGCTTCTGCTGTGTTGGAATATTCTGGGCCTACTGTAGGAGGATAGCTGCGCTCTGGTGGTGCCACAGTGTCCTGGCTATTGTTGACTATGTTCTTTTGTTAGCCTCTGGTCATCTGTGTTTGGGTTTTTTTAGGTTTACATGCTGATTTCTGAGTTTACCTCAGAAATGGATGTTTCTTCTTTTGGTTGGTTTCCGTTTCCTCTGGTCTTCTTGCATGTGTGGCCAGGGTTCTTGTGAACCTGTGACTCTTTAGGTCCAGTAGGGTATCTTCACTGAAGTTTTTGTGGCCTCAGTGACCTCTAGGTTTTGGATGCCAATACTGCTTCTAAAGTTTCAAGACCCTTTGTGGCCTCTGGGGTTTTGGTACCTGCTTGGTCTCTGGGGTTCCTAGTATTGTATGACCGCCAGTAAAGCAGAGGTCTTCTGTATAAGTTGTGGGCTGATATATTTGGCACAGGGGATGGGATGCAGATTGGTGCAGGCTTCAGGAGGTGATAGCTGGTGGTGTGTGGTGTCTTACCTGAGGTCCCCAGTACTGGCATGGTATCCAGTAAAGAAGTCTTCTGCTGTATCTGTAGGCCTGAATATGGAGCTTGGTAGTGTTCAGTGTGAGGCAGCTGGGAGGACTTTAAGGAGTATTAGTGGGTGGTCAGTAGTATCTTCCCTGGGTCCTTAGAACAGGCCTAGCCTCTGGTGAAGCAGCAGAGAATATGGAGCCCAGGGGATGGAGTCAAGGAACTTCATTTTAAGAGGGGGAAATGAAAACAGCATTAAGGTAATAGGGAATAGAATTGACTGTCTGCATCCAGGGAAACAGAAAGAAGCCATTTCTAAACTTCCCTTCTTTTACTTGCTCTCTATAAGGTTCTTTATCTTGTGTACCATCATCTATGAAATACAACTATAACTATATATGCAAATTATAGATAAATTTGGAGTCCTCAATCTAGTTATGTTTTTTTTCTACCACAGCAATGCCATTCAAAGCAAATGGTAACAGAAGTGTCTGCTTGCTTGGCTGCATGTATTATTTATAATATCAGCTGTGATTAGAGACATAATAGGGGAAACCTCCTTCCTATCCATATAAAAACAAAGACTCAGACTCGGATGATTTGGGGCATTAGGAAAGCCACATAATAAAAGCATAAAAAGACTAAGTATTTATTTTTATGGTATTTTGTTTTGTTTTAATCTAGTTATTTCTGGGTGTGGTAGTCACACACCTTTAACTTCAGCATTCCAGAGACAGAAACAGAAAGCAGAGGCAAAGCAGAGGTGTGCAGAGTGGCAGGAGACAGAGGCAGGAGGCTAGGTTATTATTTTAAAACATGAGATTTTTCTTTAAGTATTTGGCACAAAGCCAAATATTCTCCCAATAAGAGTATTAAGAGAAGTGCATTTGAACTAAATCTCATAATAAAACATTGTTTATTCTTCTTTTATACATTATAGCCCAATCATAATTGCCCCTTCCTCCACTCCTCCCAGTCTTTCTGCCAATCACCTCCCCTCTCTCCAGATCCACTACTCCTCCATCTCCCTTCAGAAAAGAGCCAGCTTCCTGGGAATATCAACCAAACATGACATAACAACATACAATAAGACTAGACTCAAACATGCATATCAAGGCTGGATGAGGCAACCCAGTAGGTGGAAAAGTATACAAAGAACAGGCAAAAGAGTCAGAGACACCCCATCTCCCAGAGACTCCTTATAAGTGGACATTAGCTGTTAAGTAAAGGTTAATTAGGATAATCTAGAGACGAAGACAAGTGGGGGGGGGGCTCAGAGAGTGAACCATGGGATTCATTAAAAAATGAAAACCAAGGATAAAAATTGTCAAGTTTTCTAAATTGAGAAAACACATCTAATTATTAAGTTAAAAAACAAATATACTATTTTACTTGGTTTATAATTTCCCATTTTACAATTGATATCTACTTTGAATAGATATAATCTTGCTATCTGCATTTTACATACATAAGTCTGACTTGAAGAGTCTAGTGATTATATGGCATACAAAATGTGAAAATCCCTTGTGCTGTGAAGCTTCCAATCATTGGAGAATGCATTAGCGAAGTGGTAGCTGAACTCTTAAGTTTTGCAGAGAGGTAATGAAAGTTACCCAAGATTGGCTGGTTTTGGTCTAGTTGCTTCACCAATATGCCATTATAAAGTTTTTTGGACATATTATTTTGACAATGGAGATTTTTTTATAAAATAACATAATTCCAGTGGCTTCTTCTAAGAGCAACCACTGTGCAAAGCTAAAAGTAAAGATAGAGGAATTAAATCTATGCTTAAAAGCTAGATATTTATTGGCTGGACACATGCATTGTACCTTTTTATCATTTGGCTTTTAAAAACTGTGGTATTATCCTTGATAAACTTGTGTTGCAAACCTCATCTACAAATGGAATCTTTAAAAGCCAAACAAATGGCTTATCAATTTCTATTCAGTAATCCTCCATCCTAAAACACAAAATCTCTCTTTTGCCTTAGTATTAGAGAATGACATTTTTTACTGGCAGGAAATAAAAAGTAAGCTTCTAGGCTTATGTAGAAGCTGGCCAGTACAGCACACTCTGACACCCCTCAGAAGTGAAGAAATTTTAGTTATGTCTTGAAATGCATCCAAATTTCATGTAGTTCCTTTAGGAATCAAAGATACTTGATGTAGAAAATACTTAAATTTCTTTAGAAAAAGTTTTCTTATCAAAGTCTAGTAAAAAGTAAGATTTTTAGGGAATACTTTTTGTGGTGCTATAACAGGCATGACAGGATTTGCATTTATAGTGGTGGGTCTGGATGAGTTCTGATATCATTCCATAGCTGTGAAACTGTTGGCTCATTCTGTGGCATAAGCTTATCTGTGATCTTTGAATTCTCCTCTTGTTCTCCTTGCTGTAAATTTACCATGAGTGAATACTTAATGTAAGTTCTGTCACAATAAAAATTTCAAGTATACCGTGTGGTTTGCTAATGGCAGTCATCAGTCATAAGTCCAGTTCCCAGTACTTCCTCTTCCTGTGTGACTGACCTGTGCCTTTTGTCTATCCTCCATTCCTGCTGCCTCTGGCCACAACTGTGCTTTCCCTTACTTGTTTGACTCTGCTAGACAGAGTCAAATAATTACTGAAATCCCCGGACCTAATGCCCAGCTCTGGATCCAAACACTAGTCCAAATTAAGAGAAAATTGACTAATATACATGAAAACAGAAATGTATTTGGAACTTCAGCCAAAACGGAGGGAGAGACTTTCTCAGTGAGTCTCTGCTTTGGCCCTGCAACATCATGAGTTATAGAAACAAATGAAACAAAAGCCAGAAAGCAAGGTCATCTTTCCCCAGGGAGATAAGCTTTTCCTCCAACATGGATTGCTCCTGTGGGTGATACTTCTTCACTTTCAGCATCTAGTTTTTATTGGAGGAATCCTACTGCTACTACTACTACTACTAGTACACGCGTTGCGGGTTACCCTGCTCAAACACTCCTTGGGAGAAGGGGTGAGAAGACGCAGCATCAACAACCCAAGCATTGGGAGTAGGCGAGTAGCTTGGAGTGCTGCAGGCGCATTTATTAAGAATGTTAGACCTGGCTTTATAGCCCCTCCCAAGGTCCTATTGGCTCAGGCAGCTGACTCTGCTGCTTTGTCTTTTTCTCATTGGTGTCTGTGGGTCAGGCGTCTCTTTGTCAGCAATCTCTGGGCAGGCTTGGCTCATGTAGGAATTGTCAGCTGTGTATGCCCATGCTCAATCAGAATGGTCAGGGAGACTGCAGCTTGGGTAGGCTAGCCACAATTTCTCCTACACACACACACACACACACACACACACACACACACACACACACACACACCTCTGCAGGATCAGAGTATTTGTTCTTCTGTGTCTGTCATAGGGCGCTTGAAATAATTTGCTCTGTATTGTGGCAAACACATTGCAAGCTGGCCTCTCATGATTACAAATAGAAGGATATCCTCAATTCTTAAGGCTGAATAATATTTCTTTGATGTATAGCACACCACTGAAAAAATCAAATCTCCAACTATTGAAATTTAGAGATGAGAATCAAGGAAAAATTTCCCTTCTGCTTATCAAATTGTTTTAAGGTACTAACTATAGACACTGAACTACTACATAGTTATTACTATTTTAAAGAAAAGCCATGTTGTTTCATCTTAACACTCTTCAGAAGAAGGCTCCTCAAATTTAACTGATGGCAAAATGCTTCTGGGAAACAGTCACTTTTAACTTATGAGCTGAATTTAGACATTCATTTAATTGACCACCACACACTTGAAATCATCATTTAAAATCACTTTCAATGTTTCAAGTTTAAAGACTCTTCACTAATGTGCAGTCTCACCTACTCATGTAGCCTCATAGAGTCTTTAATAACCTATATACTAACTGTCATGTTTATTAACTTATTAAAACATACTCTTAGTCATTTTGAATGAACCTAGATATTATTGCATAATGAATTACCACAACTCAGAGACACTTAAAACTTTTCTATCTTCCGACAGAACTTTATTCTCCATAACTCTGAATGGTGACCTTGGCATTACGTATGTAGTGGCATTTGTACTGCCTTTTCTGCTTTTGGAGAAATTACTGAACATTCTATCCATATAACAATCACATTTCTCATCACTCTGTTATATGAAAATTCAGCCTGATCTGCTGTAGATAAATTCTTATAACCCTTTGTCATCTCTTCAGATAACAGAAATGAAGATATTCTTCTTGATGAAGACAGCCTGATGTTTTGGGAGACCATGCTCCTGGAATGGACAGCCAGACAGTGTTACTATGGTGACTATGGCATCACACTTTGTAGAATTAATGAAAACAATGCATCACAGATTCTGTACAGTTCCATAGTTTATGAGCTACAAAAGTTTGCTTTTCTGCCTGAAGAATTGTTCAAATCAATCTGTGAACTCACAGATGAAAACATTTCTTTTTATAGTTCTGATCCAACAGCTGAAAATGCCTTTCTTTGCAAATGAAATTGAATCATCATATTGTACCTTTTGCATAAACATCATTTCTCAACAGATAAACATTGTCAACTCTGAAATTTAGATTTCTCCCCGTTCCCACGGTATTTTTGTGTGTGTAAGATAATTTATCTGTAACAGTTCTATCACAAAAATCCAATTTTTACCCAAAGGCAACAGATTAAAATGTGCATTCCTCTTTCATGTATTTTAAGTTTTTAAAGTTTTTTTTTAAATTTAGATGTTCCTGGTTTTATTTTCAAGTAACTGCCATAGCATAGAAAACAATATCACAACTAAAAACAAACTAAACAAAAATCTAAATATTTAAAGATCTCAGAGAAAAACAAAGTGTTACCAAGAACTAAGAAGCTGACCTGAACAAATAGGTTTATATGATGTGGCAGTGTAACTTAAAATATCATTGACGGTTACATAAATCACTCTTTTTCTGTTTCTTTTTTATATTCTCTTTGATGGAAAAATTGCATTTTTTAGCACCAGCACAGAACAACAACACAAATAACAATCCCTGCTATATGTCCCTATGTAACTATTAATTTGTAAGTGTGTGTGTGTGTGTGTGTGTGTGTGTGTGTGTGTATGTGTGTGTGTAATTTTGTAGCAAATGATGACTTTGCCAATTAGAGAACAGTTACCGGTTTTGAGTGGCAAGTCATTCTCTTCTTGATAAGAACACAGAGAAGTTCACTGGACTCCAGAAGCTCTGTGGTATTGTACTTAACTCTGGCCACCATTCTAAACACACATCTTCTCCAGTCTTCGATGGTGGTGCCTTTTTCCAGATACTCAGTAGCTGCTTCCATTTGATACCAGCCATCAAGTCTTTCACACTACTTTCATTTCATTGACAATCCCAAATATGTAGCATGTAAGGAAAACAACCAAATTTTTCAAAATTGAGAGGAAAAATTCTAGTGCTCCACTCTGTACACTATAGTCTCATCCCAGACTCTGTTCTTCTTGTTCCAATGTCTTAAAAATAAAATAAAACAAAAAAAAAATCAGCAAAACATTCTTTTTGTCTTCCAAGATATCTAACACAATTGGCAAGGGACAAGATTCCTTAGAGATGAGATACAACCAAGGTGAGCTAATAACTATACCGACTACTCCCTTAAAAGTGTTGCTAGGTTGCTATATGGGGATGGTAAACCCAGAAAAAGCCTGCGAGTATGTATGTGTATAGCTTGCTTCAAGTCAGTAATATCCCAAGGAAACCATTTAAGTAGCTGGAAATATTTAGAAAAACAAAGATCTGCAAGATTCTTCATCATGTTGATCTAAATGTTCTTTGATCTTTCTTTAGGCACACCTGATATTACAGGACTTGTATACCAAATATATAAAAAATAATCTAGCAATTTTTATTGTGCTCCTTAAATGTATGACAGCCCATAATACTACAAAGTGTATTAGAAAATCAACAACAAAAATCTAGAAATAAATAAAATGAAAACTGTCATTCTGATACATCTGCTATTCATTCTTAATCTAGAAAGTTATAACAAATACAATTGTCCGTAATAGTTTGTTCATATGATTTTGAATCTCAAATATATCAAAATGCACGTTAGACTCTTCTGAAAGAAGAGAGATGTCTACCTACCCTCAGAAACTATGATTTATTATATTTGGCATTACTCTTGTGAGTTTGAAGGGGCTTTATTCTGGAAATTTCCATGCAATGATGAATCTTCTGAAATTAAAGAAAAGTTGCCTTCTAGTGAAACACATAGGTCTTCGTGAGTAAAGAATTCTAAATGTATGGACTTAGCCTTGAGAGAGATGTGTGAGTTCCATTATCATCAGGTTGTAGGTGAGCACCCAGAAAAGGCCACCATGAAATTTTATGGGGAAAAGATTGTTACATATGCTACAGAAGACTCAGCAAGAGAAAGCCAAAAGCAGAGTTGCAATTGGCAACCTAGAGTAAGTCCTATAGAAACAAGGAATATATATCTTATCCTGGTAAAGCATTAACACTGGATGAAACTAAACAGGAAAATAAAGCACCAAGAGCATAGGAAAGTGAGGACAGAAACCAAGCTGGAGAATAAGCAAATGTCACTCTTATGTGACATACCTTTGCCTAAGACATGCTTATCATATATGTAAGAATCCATGTTTAAAATGGTGAATGACAACTATGGATTGAGAGAAGAGTAAGTTAAATGGTACCCTGAAAAAGCATCACCTAAATTGGGAGGCAGATTAATCCTTGTGACTAAAAAATAAAAAAAACATGAGTTCTTCTAATAACCAATGACATGAAATCAAAGGCAAGGAAGGACTTCTAGAGAATAAAAGAACTACAAACAAATAAATGTAACAGGTGTTCCTTGTTTTCATGTTAGTTCAAACAAACCAAATGAACAAAGCTAGTGATAAGATGAATCACATTGCAAATAGCAATGAGAATGTTTTAATGAGTTAGCTATGATGAGGATTGGTGATTACAGAAAAATTTTACAGCTTATGATGTCTTCTAAGGACTCATATGTGAAGTGAAGTTATAATTGGGGATATCTTTAACACGGGAGACTAACGAAGAGGTAGAGCAATTATTTAAAGTAGCTGGGAAATTGTCCAAACTCTTGATAATGTAATTTTGTTACTCTGTTTACTTCAGTTTGAAATTTTCTAAAATGAAGAGATATTTTTAAATATGTGGCTATCCAATTAAAGTAACATGAATTGTTAATTTAATTAATCTTAATCAATAAAATCCCAGAGTAAGATATTGGGGTGAAAGCTGAAAAGATCAGACAAGCAGAGCAGCAGCTACCAGAGACTTCTTCCCTCTCTGAATTATCTGACCAAAAAGGCTGAGCTCCCATCTCTGCTCTGCCCATCACTTCCCCTCTCTGTCTCCAGAGTTATGGGATTAAAGGCATGAGCCTCCCAAGTGCTGGGATTAAGGGTGTGTGCCACCATTGCTTGGTCTCTGTGGTTAAATAGTGATTAGCTCTGCCCTGTGATCACCAGGCAAGCTTTATTTGTCAGAAAACAAACAAAATGTCACACAACGGTATCATTATTACCCATTAAAGCCAGAACTTGGAAGAGCATGGGCATGAAAGCTGGAAGATGTTGTCTTAAGTACCCATGGATTTATGTAAATCTTTGATCCCCTTTTTATTTGATTTCCCCACTGGAGTTTTCAAATCAGTGATGTTCCTTTACAGGAAAAAAAAAAGGTATGTAGCATTAACCTAATGGTTGGAAATCCAGGGTGTGACCTGTAGAGTCATGGCTGGATATTATTCATCATGATTTGTTTGGCAACAGTTGTGGACTTTGTTTCATACTGGGCACTTTGCTTAAAACACAGAGTTTGGTAGGTGAAAATTTATTATTTATTTGGATGAATAGGATTCCCAGGACCTTGGGTCGAGAGACCAGCAGTGCAGAAGATGGGCAGTGCCCCTGGCTCTCAAGGTGGCTCTCCCCTGGTATGTTAGTTTCTTGGTGAGTGGGGAAGCTTGGGAATTAGAGCTTCAAGCATTCTAAATGGACCCCGTGGTGAGGAATTTGCAACTACATATTTTCAGAAGATGTCACGGGTGGGGAAACCACTGAATTGTGCATAATATTCTCTATGAAAAGAATACTAAAATACATCTGTGGGACAACCAGAGGGAAAACAAACACATTCCAGATACAAATTGTACCTTAGAACAAGCATCATTTTGTTCCCACAGTAACTGAGGAAAACATAAAATTAATCCTCTTACCAGTTTATGTGGACTCCCAAGAATCCAAATGGACCAGGAACAAGAAGAATCCAGTGATATCAGAAAGCCTCAAGACTGTTAGTGAGGTTTCTTTTGCACAGAAATGACTTTAATGACAGTCACAATATGTCATAGACCCTAAGGGCAAAGACAGCATTAGAAACTAGATTGCCATAAAATCCCTTTCTCAAGGGACTAAAATTATTCAAGCTGTCATTAATTTCCAAAGTAACAAGCTAATGGGAACAGTGCAAAATATTGCATCTTAGGTCTGGGGGAAAACAAAAACCAAAACCAAAAAACAGGTCATGTGTAAATACAGCTAATATTTAGAAGCAAAGCATGGGAACCAATGTCAGCTTCAGCAGTATCTGTGATGGCAAGGAAAAGCTACATGTCACAAAGCTCAGCTTAGACCTTCACTCCTAGATGGGTTCTGCATCACCAGTGAGCAAAACTATCAGTGTGAAGGAGAGACTAGGAATGGCAGGGATTTGGTTCTGAGAGCTTCTGTTTCTTTACTAAGGCATTTCTGTTACTCAGCTCCTGAATAAAGTAACAAATTGCCAACATCTTCAACAGACTGAGTTTGGAAATCAGGAATGAACTTTTCCTGATTTGTTGAACTACTGTATACTGAAACACTTTCAATTTACAGAGACCACACACATGTCTCATGCTGAGTACATAGTAAACCAAATCTCCCACGGATTTAGTGTAATGGTCAGCTTACTGCCCTTATGCTGCTAGCATCTATTCTTTGAGACCAAGGTTTTGGGGCTGGAGAAATCTATCAGTGATTAAAAGTGCTTGCTGTTCATGCAAAGGAGCCAAGTTCAGTCCCCAGCACCCATGTCAGGTGGCTCACAATGGCCTATAACCACATTCCAGAGGATCTGATGCTTTCTTCTGGATACCCACAATTACATGCATGTACCCACATCCACACATTCCTATAACTTAAGATAAAATAAAATTTAAAATGGCAAGTGTTTCTTTTAGATATGTTAAATTTCAAATCATGTTTAATTATTTTTCACCCATATATATGTCTACATGTGTGCTCACACACACAAACACATATTGTACAATGTAAAATTGATTGTTTCCCACCTTGTCTGGTGAAGTTTAAACACTTAAAATAAAATACCAGATTTACATAACATACATACATACATACATACGTAATTCAAATTCAGGACTCATGTTAGGAGATGGAGAATTTAAGAATTTAGTTGCATAAGTTCCAGCTATATTCTCTACACACTTTGGGCTTTTCTTTGTTTTGTATTATTTTGTGTTTGAAACAAGATCTTGTTGAGATCTTCCTGCCTCAGGCCGCAGAACACTACAGTGCCAGGCTGTGCTTTGCAGTTTGTTCCAGGTGCTATCATATTGCTATTTGATTTTTTCCACTGGAAAATGGATGTGATTATCTCATTGTGATGCAATGCAATTATAATCATTCAACATGAAGTGTCAGAGAATCCTCTAATATATGTCAGATGTTCAATAAGTATTAGGTAAGTTCACATAAGCTTATAAATCTCATCTTTAAGTTTTATGACCTTTGAAATGAAATCATTCTTATGACTGCCCCTTAATCATGTTCTACATAATACTAATTATTTAAGCTATCTTGGTAATATAGTTCCCTTGCCTGACTTATTCAGTTTTTTTCACTGCCAAGTGTAAAGGCATTATCTGTCAGATATAACGAATCAATATTTTATTTCTATGTAGCTAATCTCAAAAACACAAAGTTATAAATATCTGGGCTTTTTAGTTTAAGTAGCTTTTTCCAGATAGCAATTCTCTGTGGCTTTGGAGGCTGACCTGGAACTAGCTCTTGTAGACCAGGCTGGTCTCGAACTCACAGAGATCCAGCCTCTGCCTCCCGAATGCTGGGATTAAAGGTGTGGACCACCACCGCCCGGCCCAAGTAGCTGGGTTTCTATACTTAAGTTTTTATACTGTTTCCTTCACCTTAGTTGTATAGACATTTACACACACACACACACACACACACACACACACACTAAAGCAAGTTAGACAGTTAGATTCAATCATTCTGGCACACAATTTGTTATATCTGATTAAAACTATAAAGCATTGATTTTCCCCCTAAATCTTTCCCCATTATCTTTGCTGTCTCTAGGTTGTTTATGCAACACCCTTAAACATCTAGAATTGAATCTTGGACAAATTTGCACAGCATGCACTATTTCGATGGAGACATGTTGCAGACCCCTGGGAGTCGCCAGTGTGTCTACCAAACAGCCCTACTCTGTCTAAGCTGGCTGTCAAGGCTCCTTTCTTTCCCGGTTTGTACTGCTTGGCTTCTACCAAACAGGAAGTCACACTGGGATCCAGACACTGCATTTCTATCGCCAGGACTCTTCCATGATCATGCTGCCTGCAGGAACTCAAATGAAGCTAGGAGTGACTGACAGAACAAACTATGGAGACAAGAAGAAGAAAAGGAAGAAAGCGACTTCCTGCAGACACCAGCCAGTGTGTTGCAGCCACTTATTTCTTCTCCCTCTGCTGCATCTTGCCAAACAGTTTAAATTTAACAGATTCATTACATACCACAAAATGCTGTTATGTGAGCCCATGAACTTTTTCTCTGAAGAGGGAAGAGGTTAGGTAATTGTTTGAATTTCATAAAGAGAGCCAGATGTGGTGGTGGTTTCACACTAATGGAATTCAGACTGTGAGAGGGAAGGGAAGCCTCTGTCTGCCCTGCTGCTGCTGCCAGGCTAGGAGCTTAGAGAGAAGGGTCAATCCCCTTACTCAACTTTTCCATTTGAAAAGACAGTAGAGAAGTGGAAGCAAAGCCAGCATACCAGTTGTCTTGTTTAACCGGTAAATTCTATTTTGGGAATATTAGGTTAAGAAATCAAAACCCATTATAATACAGAAGTTGGGCGAGGTGGAGGGGGAGGAAAATGATGTAAAATATAGTACTCATATATGAAATTCTCAAAAATATAAAAACTTAAATGAAAAACTAAGTTGAGAACATTTGTGAAGTCTCCTCAATTTTATTTGGTGTGCCAAGTAGCTGAATCTATTTATTCACTAAACAGTAGACTATCTCAAAAATCACTATAGAAACTAGAATGTGTGAGACAAATTCTACATATTACATTTCATGTGATGTGTTACGATTTCCATCTTCTCCTCATTGAGTAGTTCCCAAATGTCTGAATATTAGTGACTTGGGTCGTTTTACAGAAACTTTTATTCTTTGTAGTCTCCTCAAAGTTTTGAAATCAGGATAACAAAAATTATCCAGAGACTGTCTGGGAATAAAAAAGTAATTTAAAAAAAATGTTCAAAGTGTTTTTTGATGATCAAACCAATTAGACAATGATTGATCCACACAGGAAATGTGTCAATTATCGGATTATTACATAAAGGCAAATCTTCACTGGATGCTTCACAGCAAAAAAAGCCAACTATTTGTTTTTAGGAGCCTACATTTTTGTTCTGAAGACAAAAGTTGAATTTTGGTCTCCAGTACTGATTGTACTAGTGAGAGACAAAGGCACGATCCTACTCTATAGAAAATTAGCTTAAGTATTTTCTGCATTAAGTTGTGAAGCCCGGAGAGCCAGGGGCTGTTTGAAATAAGCACATCTGGATCTGATTTGAAACACGCAGCTTAGGTTACAGTTGTGGTCTCCAGTGTCTCGTAGCATTGCCAACTTTATAATCACAGGCATGTGCTATGAACTGTCTGCCTACACACATAGAAAGTGACAAAAGGGCCACTGTCTTCTCACAGGCATGTCTTCCCTCTTCACTCCTTGTTACCAGCATTCTTCCCTGCAAGCCTGGTCCCAGAGCCATGTCAGCCCGAAATGAACATGCAGATGCTATATTAGTTATCAAGCTGTTGTTCTGGTGACTAGCTTTTCTTATTGGCTAGCTCTGTTTTAACTATGAACCCATTTCTATTAATCTAAGTAATTCCACATAGTCTTATCTTACTGAGGTATGCCGGACCTGCAACTCCCTTGCCTGATCAGCATCTCTGCAGAGAAGAGAGTGATTTCCTGTTTATCCCTGCTTATATCCTGATTCTGCCCAGCTACATCACTTCCTGTCTGGAAATCTGCCAATCAGTGTTTTATTCATTAACCAATAAGAGAAACATATATACAGAAGAACATTCTCCATCAACTCATGATGTCCTGTCCTCCAGGAGACAATCCCATCTAAAAGCTTCCAACTGTAAATAATTTCTTGCTCCTTTGAGAAGTCATTCATCTCAAAGGTCCTTTGCCAGTTTTATAGCCTTACCTCAGGGGCTGGAGAGTCCTTCCATTGAGAGGCAATCAACAAGGAAGGCAGTGTTCTTATCTCTCAAGTTCTATGAAGCAATAGGAGCCTCTCTTCAGAGGGACCCTTGCTCCAAGTTGTAAAACTGAATGCCTGTCACGGTGACACAGGAAGTAGCTTTCCTTTGTGGGAAAATTATTAGCAAATACAGACAAGTTATAACAACTCCTCCTGCCCAGGCTCTTATAAAATGGCCAGCCCTTTGCAGAGCTCTAAATAAATTCTGTTCTCTAGGGCCCATTTTTATAAATGTGGTCTTTCTTGACGAGTTAACTTTGTCTATAACAGTTTTTACTTTGATACAAGGCACCAGGCCCTTTACTGTAGAATTCATTCCAACTCAGTAGAAATAAATACTAGACTCTTGTTACACTTGGTGTCTCTTTTTGACAGTGCAGAGATCTCAGCATGAGTTATTTGTCCAACAAGGAGCTGAGAATTAAGTACATTACTGAAGGCTTGCTGACAGTTCTTCTCTTGTCATGGCAGACATCCTGTCAAGTAACTGGATTAGAGCAACAAAGAATCTAAGAGAACAGGAAACCAACAGGCCCTGCCACAGAAGTGTGTGCTCTCCACTCTGCCAGATGATGAATTACTCTTGTATTTTGTTAACTGGCTCTGCACACCAGTATCTTGAGAACTGTGATGTGAATAAGCAACTCATCAGTTTGGAATTTCGGAGGTAAAGATGCTGTGAAGAAACAAGGTAGTTTTTCCTCTTAAAGCCCGGAAAGTAGTAGAGCAGAGGATCTATTTAAGTTGGAAAGAAAAACAACACTATCCAT